CTGAGCAAGTCGGGGGGTGGCAGGAGATGAGGCCTGAGAGGGGAGAGGGCCTGGGGGGACCCCATGAGGCTTAGAATGAAGTGAGGAATCTTGGAGACTTTTCAGGAAGGGCGTGATGCGGCCTAAACCCGCTATTTAATTACAAAATGAGAAGTGAGCCGCGTGGAAGAAAACAATGTTCCCAGCGAGATGAGGACTGCGAACTGCAGGTTCTCCCTTTGGAACCGAACAGACTCAGGAAGGTCCAAACCCGTGGGAAACACCAGTCAAGCAGGTGTGCGCCAGGAACTGGGGATGGGACCTTTTTTTTTTTTTTTAATGTTTTTATTGATTTCAGAGTGGAAGGGAGAGGGAGAGAAACATCAATGATGAGAATCACTGATCGGCTGCCTCCTGCACGCCCCCTACTGGGGATTGAGCCTGAAACCCAGGCGTTTGCCCTTGAATCGAACCTGGGACCTTTCAGTCCGCAGGCCGATGCTCTACCCACTGAACTAACTGGCTAGGGCTTGGGATGGGACCTTTTGTAGCCCAGGTCCCACCTGTCTAGTGCCAAGGGTGGGAAACAGAAAATGTTCCCCAAAGGGAGGTTGCATGGGGTCCTCCCTGTAAAGCAATGGGGTGGCCTCCCATGGAGATGGAGGTGCCCTGGGTAGAACCCAGTCCCCGTAGCCCAGCTTCTATCCTGAACCCTGGCATCTCGGGCCCTCAGGCTGGTGGGTCACAGGAGCCAAGAGCAGCAGGGCAGAGCCCACAGCGGGCCACTCCCCTCGGGCCTCCCTGCCTCTGTAGGGTGACACCGGACGGATGGACAGGCAGGCACAGAGGACAGACAGACATTGCTCCTTCTTGGGGCGGGCTTCCTTCCGTGGATCCATCCAATACCACAGCTTTCAGGATCTGCCCCGCCCTGGGGTTTCCCTCACAACTGGACATCCCATCCCCATCCCGTAGTCACTAACTTGTCTTCATTCCTCCAGCCTTCTGTCACCCAGCCCCAGGGCTTTCTGGGTAAAGCCTGGGACATCTTCCACCAACAGACTCAAAGGTAAGGCGAGTCCGGGGGAAATGAGTGCGGGCAGGAAGCTCTGCTGATCTCGCCCTTCGTGATCCAAGGAGGCAGTTTGCCTGCGGTCACAGCTCTCCTGCTCCCTGCGCTTTACTGTGGCCCCGGCCTGGGTTCCTCACTCTGCGGAGGACTTTGATGCAACAAGCTGCGTGTTCGGGGGTCAGGATTAGGAATTAAGTCCTCAGGTTTCAGGTAACCTAACCTGCATCTGGATGGAGTATAGCCGGGCCCCAGGATGCCTGAGGGGTGGC